GAATCAAAGACACAATTCCAACACTTATCACCCAAACAGCACTAGATTGCCTTATACCTTCACCGCCACAACAGCACTCGTGTGATCTCATCACAACATCACCTCATCAATCTCTATTCCAAATGACTCCATTTTAGCATCGCCTACTAACGATTTGATGATATACCTAACAGAAACGACAATCACTTTCACAATCCTTGAACATGTAATCACTGCACAAACTTTGTACACCTAATTCTAACAGCAACAACCACCAACTATTTGGTTTAATATTCCATCTACGACGTCCATAGCAGTGACACCGCTGGACCATCTCCATCTATGGTGCCCAAGGTAGTGACTCGGTCAGACCTCTAAAGTGCCCATGGAAGTGACATCGCTAGACCATCTCCATCCCTAGCGCCCACGGTAGTGACACACTCGTACCTTCTCCATCTGCAGTGCTTATAGCAGTGACACTACCAGATCAGAGTACACCACAACCTCACCCCCTCAATCCAAGCCATCACTGGATAGCACCACGATTTTGCAACCTATAGTTCTAGCAATTGATTGCTCCAATTTGACCACTTTTTGCCGAGCCAAGCCAACAGCCATCTACACAAATTTAGCTCATCTTATCCAAACTTTTAGTTCTCTACCCACCATAAGTTTGACGAGGGCATTAAATAATGTAGTTAAGCTATCTTGTTTTCCTTTGTTTTAGTCCAATATTGCTTAGGATTTTATAACTTCTCTCATTGATGTTGTAGTTAAGCACTTCAATACAATGAATAATATAGTCTTTTTTCTTTCGAGAAGCTACATTCTTATCAATAACAACCATTAACTCTTTTGCTCTGTTTTATTTGAGGAGCTAATCCAATCTTGTCATGAAACTTTCAGGTGATCGCTTCTCAAATCATATACCCATACATTTGTACATGTAGCATGATTATGACTGATTTCAAATGTAATTGACAAAGTCCCTATTATTTCACCAAAAAAAAGTCAATGTTAGACAGAGAGGGTTATAGTTTTATACTCTAAAGTATCTCTCACAGGTTGAGCACCCTTTTCACTGGCTGCATTGTACACACAAACATTATTATTATTATTATTATTTTAAATCGACTTTAAATTCGTGGCCACCGAAATTTGAATATTGATTGGTCTAGTAACATGTCAAAGTCCATTTCACTATACCAAAATACTAAAGTTTGAAAAGTTCTAGTTCTATACTTAAGTTTGAAAGTTATGATTCTCATTTCTCATGAGCACACTTTCATGAGGGTAAATTCCATATCAGATATCTAGGTTTGCTTATGGTCAGTAAAAGGTTATCCTCTTCAGCTTGCAAACTCTTCGATGTCGCTAGAATTCAACTTAGTAAAAGTGTGCTCATGGGAAGCCAAGTGTTTTGGTGTTGTAATTTCCTTTCACCAAGACAGTTCTTTAGAAAATTAATGGGTTACGCAGAACCCATTAATTTTCTTTCGGGTGGTAAAGTGCATTTAGTCTCATGGTCTTAAATCTGTCAAGATTACAAGAATCGCAGTCTTGGTGTATCCCCCTGTAAAACCCCAAAATTTTTATAAGGAATATGTGTGAATTATTAGTAATAAATAATTCCTTTGTGATAAATAATCATATATATATATATTAGATGATTGTGACTATCAGTGTTTGGGAACCCAACAAGTGTTTATATGTGAGAGAAATTGAGTGGTTTGAGCATCATGTGGTAAATCAATCTAGGCTGGCATTTTTCTTCTGAGCGGTCGACCGCAGTGGACGCGGTGCTCGACCGCATATCAGTCTCGCACTTAGGAAATCTTTTTCCTGTTGTGCGGTCGACAGCACTGGGCGCGGCGGTCGACCGCCCAACAGGCAGAGAGTTTTCTGGGTTCGGGTCTAAACGGATTTCGGGTCGGGTTGTGGGGTTAGTATATATGCTAATGAACCCAAGAGAGCCTCTTTTCATCTGAAATCAGAAACCCTAGCCCCCCTCTCTCCCCTCAAACCCTAGTTCTCACTTCTTGGTGATTTGGGAGGAGCTTTGAAGGGTTTTTCAGCGGATTTTTTGGTGGATTCAGCGAGAGGGATCATCTTCCTTCAGATCTAGGGCTTTGTTCTCATCAGAGGCGAGTAACATCTCGCCCAACTTCTTCTCTTTTTATGTTTCATGTTTTATTTTGGAGTTTAATCCGCTTTTATTGAGCCAAAACCGTATTTTTTGTAGATACAATAGATCCTTATGACATATGATATGATAATCAAATGTTTCAGATTTTAAAAGCACACCAACGAGCTGTAATAAAGAGATCTAGATCTGAAAATGGTTTTAAAAAGAGTAAATTTCTGTTTTTATTGAATAAACAATATTTAAACCATGTTTATATATATTTGGTATCTTGATGATAGATTTTAAATGTCTAAATTCGTTGTCTTCTGTTCTATGACTTTGTATAAATGTTAGATTTACATTAATATAGAAATCATCGAGTTTGATTGTGATTTGAAGCCGACAGAAACCCTAACTGGGCTTCTGTCTGCTTCGCGATTGACCGCGGTGGACGCGGCGGTCGACCGCTCTGAGATGTTTCCAGCAGAAAAGTTTCTGCTCTTTGAGCGGTCGACCGGCATGACCTCAGCGGTCGACCGCCGCTCAGTTTTGAGCTCAGTAAATCTCGGCTCTGTGAGCGGTCGACCGGAGTGGTCTCTGCGGTCGACCGCCGTACAGTTTTGTGCATGTTGACTTTTTGTTGACCTTTTCGCGTGTTCGAGAGATTACCTCGTTTATCTCCCACTAGTTTGTGATGTTAGTGACTTATCTACACATGGGGTTTGACTTTTGACACAAATTTAGACCCGCACATTGAAACACATACAAGATTGGGATATGTATATCTTTCCACATATACTAGTGACAATTTTGCCTCTTTGTTCATAGTCCATGTGTTGGGCATACATTATTATTAATCCATGTGTTGGATACTTATCATCTCAGTCCATGTGTTGGACATGCATTTTATTCAGTCCATGTGTTGGACAAGCATTACCTTTAGTCCATGTGTTGGACATTTTTGCTAAACCTTGAGCATGTTTCACATTTGAGTTTTGAGCATGACATATTGATAAACTTCGGACATGATAGCTACCTAGGCTGGGCATAACACTTATTGTAACTTTGCACCTTTGACATAACTGTGATTATTGGTAGAGATGGGATTGTTGTCTTTTCTTTATTGTTCATGTATTAGACTCCGGGTTTGGTACTTAGGGATTTTCAATTTGAGATACAAGGTATATACATGAGGGTTTCCTTATTTGGATTATTTCGCTCGACGTACCTATGCTCATGTTGAAATTTCCTAAGTACTAAAACCCATTATTCTTAGGACAATTGATTATATATATGTTGTGTGATAACCGTATTTTTTATATACAACGAGCCCTCTCCCCTGGGGTTGGTTGTGATGTTGCTCGCTAGCGCTTTGACGCTCGTTGTCCCTCCCCCTTTCAGGTAACGAGCCAGGAGCTCGGAGAGTCACAGGTTGATGGCGACACACTTTAGTGTTCAGCTATCTGTTTTAGCTATGTTTTATTTTGGAGCTCCATTGTAGTTGTTGTTAGACATTTGAGGACTATTTTCTAGATGTTGTAAAAGTTGTATGCCTTATTTCCTTTACTCAGACATTTTGTATTTGGGACTTGTTGAGGATTCCAATTTATCTACTTCAGTCATTGACTATGTATTTCTGTATGTTGGACGATGAGATATCTATGTGGTTGTTATCATTTCATCAGTCATCACTTGTATTATCTTTTACTTGCTTTTGTACCTACACCTGTTGTTGACTCTACTAGAGAGATGTTAATTGTGATGGTAAAACATGTTATTGCACGGTGTGGTGCATGGCAGGTTTGACATTCTTGGTTTCACCTTGGACTGCATTCTTGTGTGAACCCAGGGGCGTCAACCCCCCCCAGCAATCGTATGGGATTCAGCATCAGCCTTAAAGCTACTGTGGGCTATTCACTTTAAGAAGGATTCTATGTGTAATTTTATCTCTTCTTACCCTTCTATATATTATTTTCCATTTTTTATTAAATATTAGAATTGTATAATTAATTTAAATTTAAAATTTAAAAATTATAAATTTCATGTTTTATAAAATAAATTAAAATTGAGAGATGACGGAATGATATTTAGCAGATCGAAAAAGAAAGAGAAAAAAGGAAAAGTATTTTTTTTAATTTGTATTACAATAATAATTCAAAAAAGGTAAAAAGTTATAAATTATTATAATAATATCTTATAGTCTCTCCAATAGTTCTTCAAGATTAATTAATACTAACATAAACTATTATTATTAATATTAGTAAATTTTAAAATATATAAATTGTAGTCTTATCATCAAAATGCATGACTTATATGTTTATTGATTATTGAAAATTATCCTTAATTAGTCTTATCATCAAAATGAATGACTTATATGTTTTCTGATTATTGAGAATTACCCTTAATTATACTAATAATATTAGGCATTATTTATTATTTAAACTGAATATTCCAATAGACTCTCTAGCAGTTGAGTTAGGGGCAAATTTGGAGGAAGAAAGCAAATTCGAGGAGTAAATTTAGAAATATAACGTTAAGAGCAAATTTTAAAATACATACAATTTTGAGAGTATATATCTAAAACCCCTATTTTTACATGTGTATCTTAACCCTCAGTGACTTCTTTATGATGTTTATATGATAATCTCCAATTTTTTTGGGTCAATGAAATATATGTATTCATTTACCAAATGGGAAATATTCGTACATCAGATCATTCCAGCTTTACTGGAAGTAACAAAAAAAGAGAAAAAATTTACAATTGCTGAATTTTCTCTTTAATATAGGTGGGGATGTCATCATTTAGTATCTTTGAAAGAATAGTAAGTTTCACAGATCTAAAAACTGTTTCAGCCCCTCTTGTAATGGATTGGAAGATCCTCCGATTTCTCTCCTGTCATATTGCATAAACAGAAGCAGATAAAGCCATCCTCTTAAGCTTCTTCATAAAGCTCTCACCCTTCAACCTTAATGTATACCAATCAACAACATTGCTCCATACACATGATATCCATTTATAGTTCAGCCAGTTCATGACTTTATTCCATATGTTTACTGAATATTCACACTCAAAAAATAAATGTTGACAGGTTTCCATCTGCTGATGACATATGATGCATGTATTTGTGTCGAGAATTTTCAAGCGACACAGTCTTTCTTGAGTTAACAGTCTTTGATGCATGACCAGCCATAGAGTAAAAGAATGTTTAGGGTAGTGCCATCCATCCCAAACTGTTTTAGACCATGAAGTTTGTGCATTTTGATGAATAAGCATATTGTAGATAGAGGAAAGATGTACCTTACTTTCAGAACAATTCCTCGCAATGACATTCAACACATTTGTCACATTGCTAAATTTTCCAATCATCTTATCCCTGATTTTTATTATCTGCTTCCACATCCAAGAGTCATTAACTCTGGCTTGAACTTGCCATATGCTAGTTTGTTTTAGGTAATTCTCATGAACCCATTTAATCCATAGCATATCCTTCTTCAAATGAATCATCCAAAGAAGCTTCAAAGCCGCAGCTTGATTCCAGAATTTAGTAGAGAATATTCCCAAACCACCATGTTTTTTGCTCTGACAAATAGCTGACCATGAAACTAGATGAATTTTGCCATTCCATAAAAAATCAGAGCATAAACTATCTATTTTCTCCAAAACTTTTACTGGTAGGATGTAATTTGTTGTCTAGAAGAGATGAATACCCAAGATGACTGATTTAATAAGTTACAGTCTTCCAGCATAGGATAGTTTTTTCTTCTTTTGCCAACATTGAAACTGTTCAGATATTTTAATAATCAGGGGAGAGCAATCTGAGCATGACAATCTTTTCGACATCAGAGGGACACCTAAATATCTCACTGGTAGTGCTCCCTCAGAGAAATTAAGTAATGAGCAGATCTGAAGCTTTAAATTGCTGTTAATGCCACACAAATATAAAGAGCACTTATTTAGGTTAGTTTCTAACCCAGAGACTTGACTGAACTCAGAGAGGCATTCCTTCAATTTCGTTATTGAGTGCATATCAGCTTTGCAAAAGAGCAACAAGTCATCAGCAAAAAATAAGTGAGTTATCTTGAGCCTTGAGCATTTAGGATGATATCTGAAACGACTATCATTTTTTAAAGAACTCAATTTCCTAGACATGTACTCCATCCCAAGAACAAATAAGTATGGTGAGAGGGGATCCCCTTGCCTTAAGCCTCTAGCACCTTTAAAATACCCATGCAAAGTACCATTAAGAGATAGGGATAATTTTAAAGTGGTGATACACTCCATGATCCACTCGACCATAGTCTTAGGGAAACCCAAGCCAAGTAACACAAAGTTGATTAAACTCCAACTAATGGTATCGAAAGCTTTCCTCAAATCAATATTAAGGATTGCTCTTGGTGATGTATGTTTTCTACCATAGTGTTTTATAAGATCATGTGCTAGTAGAATATTACTTGAAATGAGCCTTCCTTTGATAAATGCACTTTGGGCTTCATTGACTAGAAAACCTATCACTCCTTGAATTCTGTTAGCAATGACTTTTGAGATTATCTTGTAAACACAATTGCAACAAGATATTGGTCTATAATCTGAGGGAGTCTTAGGATTAAGAATTTTTGGTATCAAGGTGATTGATGTAGAGTTGATAGCACCAAGAAGCTTACCAGACTTGAAAAACTCCTCTGCAGCTAGGTATACATCTTCCTGTATCACATTCTAAGTTGCTTTGTAGAAAGAGGCATTGTAACCATCTGGTCCAGGAGCTTTTTCACTAGGTATTGAGAATAAAGCTAGCTTGATTTCATCTCTTGTGATTGGAGAACTCAGATTATTACTTTGAGTAAATGAAAGAACTGGACCATTTGCTATCACCCTTTGGTCTATCTGCAAAGTTTGCCCAGTAGTGCCCAGGAGATTTGTGTAGTAACTAATAAATTCAGATGTGATATCTGAAAAATCAGTTAGTCTCTCACCATTGTCATTATATAATGATAGCACCTTATTTTGATTTCTTCTGGCTTTCATAATAGAGTGAAAGAAATGAGAGCATTTATCCCCATATAATCCCCATTTGATGCTAGCTTTTTATCTGAAGAAGGAGGTTTCAAAATCAACCAGTCTCATATAACTGCTCAAGCATTCCTTCTCTTTTGATATTAGATCAGAGTTGGAAGGATCATCATTTAGCTGTAGTTGAATATCAGAGAGATCACATTTTTTCCTCAATACCTGCTCACTAATATTCATGAAGTGTTTTATGTTCAAATCTTTCAAAGCAGGTTTAAGTTTCTTCAATTTTGTATGAAGCCTGTACATGTAGAAACCCCTGCAATTCTGCTCCCATACAGACTTAACAACTTTGTTAAAATCAGGGTGTTTAGTCCACATACTGAAGAATTTAAAAGGCTTCTTACCTTCACAGATGTCATCATTTATTGTAATCAAGGCTGGAGAATGATCAGAGAAGTTTGGCACAAGAAAATCAACTTGACTTGAAGTATATTGATGAAGCTACTCCTCATTAACCAAGATTCTATCCAATTTACTCCAAATTCTTAAAGTAGCATCCTGTTTGTTACACCAAGTGAAGAAGCAGCCTGTAAGTTTCAGATGAAGTAGTTGGCATGAAGTGATGAAGTTATTAAAATCCTCAGTCTCAGAATCTGTGACAGGAGAACCCCCTTTTTTCTCTTCATTACTGGTGATGGTATTGAAATATCCACCCACAAACCAAGGAGAATTAACACTTTGTTTGAAACTTAACAAGTCATGCCAGAGATTTTTCCTACCTTCTTGATCATTAAGAGCATAGACTACAGTGGCAATGCATGAAAATTTTCCATCTTTAGAAATCAAAGAGCATGATACATACTGGTCTGAGGAAGAAATACACTGTACTGATAGGATATTACTGTCCCAGAGAATCCATATTCTACCATTCCTTGCTTGCTGAGTATTAGAAATCCAATCCCAATCTTTAACCATTTTCTTTGCTATAGTATTCATTTTATCACCAGCAACTTTAGTTTCCAAAAGAGCTATAAATGCAAGCTTATAATCATGTACAAATTGCTTCACTAACATATGTTTAGAGGTTTTATTTAAACCTCTAACATTCCAGATTGCCAGTTGCATTTATTGAGAGGATCCTCCCCTATCAATGCTTGAGGGAGCAAATTCATTACTATGATCCGGTAAAGAGAATAGTGAAGCTTGAATATGAGAGGAATGTTTATCCATTGGTGATCTTCTAGCTATAAGATTTCTGTTGACACTTGTAAAGCCACTAACATTCACAGAAGGGGATATATTTTGTATTGTAGAATTCATCATGTGACCAGTATCATGGGTAGATTTCCCTTTATCAATATGAAGGCTGCTGGTGCACAACACTGTTTGTGCATGTTTTCTGGACAGATTCCCTCCAGAAAATTGATCAGATAAATCCATCTCTCCTCCAGAAATTTGATCTGATATTTTATTTGTAGATTGTTCAGGTATCTGAACATCCTGAGGAGCATTATGAACACTTCAGGAACAGGTACATTATCAGCAGACTATTTTGGAACCCATATTTTCTTCATTGTTAATCTTCTACATTGATCAACTTCATGTCCCATTGTTTTGCAATTTGTACACCATCTTGGTTTTAATTCATAAACCACTTTCTGAATATATTTTTTCCCATCTGGACTTTGAATGATTAATTGATCAGGCAAGGCCTCTTTTAAAGGCAAATCAACTTCAAGCAAGACTCTAGCATATGACAGTCTTTGTCTCATAGCCGTGAGTTTATCAGTAGTGATGGGATTGCCTATGAGGCTAGCAATCTTACTTATACCTAAAGAGCTCCACAAGTTTAGCCTCAAATTAGGGAATTGAGCCCACATTGGATAAGTACAGTCCTGGATTTTTTCAACATCAGTGTCAATTGTCCAAGGTTTCAAAACTAATGGCCTTGAGCCAAAGAACCAAGGATCAGTCTCAAGAGCATCATCCATTTGTTGTTTAGTATGAAATTCAAAAAGGAAAACCCCTTGCTTGATCAAGTAGACTTTAGGAATTGAGATGTTTCCCCAAATCTTGCTCACATAGGTTTCCATGGATTTAAATTTTACATTTAATCCAATAACATGACCAATTAGCACTACAAGAAATTACATCTTTAACGAAGGGATTTCCCTTCGTTAAAGAGCTAAAAACATTCGTTATTATATGCTAACGACGGGAAAAAATCCCTTCGTCACCCGTCGTTGAAACCCTCTTCGCTAAAGGGTCACGAAGGGATATACTACCCATCGTTATAGAGTCTATAACGACGGAACATATTACCGTCGTTAATATTTACGACGGTAATTATCACCGTCGTTACTATCAGTGACGGGGATATTTTCCCGTCGTTACCATCAGTGACGGGATATTTTCCCGTCGTTACCATTAGTTACGTGGATATTTTCCCGTCGTTATCATTAGTTACGGGGATATTTTCCCATCGATAAAGACTAATTAATGACGGTTGGATACCGTCGTAAAAGTCCTCATAATAAGTAATTAGTAACCCATTATCGACGGTGCTTTCCCTTTGTTGATGAATAAAATACGATTTATAAAACCGTCATTGTAGAGTATAAATTTCTAATATATATTAATAATATTTTTTTCATTCATAAGCAACTATCATATTATTCTCAACCTGACACTAAGATTCACAACACAAATATATTAAAAATGCCCAATAATGAATAAAAGGGAAAATAAAAATTCCATTCATTAATAACATCAATAAACAAAATTCCACCATCCTCAAATATTCAATACTAATAATAAGAGTTAATATCCTAATTGTTCCAAAAAAAATTAATACATGAAACTATCTATAACAAATTAAAATAAAAGTTTGGGGAAGACACATTCTTTCATCTTTAATCATCATCAAAAGAAGACTCGAGCTACCCCACCTCTCCTAATCTTGCATGGATAACCTGAAAATTTTAAAAAAAATCACATAATTAAGATATATCAATTAAGCAAATATTATTTTATTAAGTAAAATTCATATTTTTTTAGTGCAAGTAGTCAATCATAAAAGTATATAAGAGATTTTACAAAAAATGATTACCTAGTCATGCAACTAGGTAATTGCAACTACCATGCCTCAATTTTTTTAACCCCAATAGATCCAAAAAAACCTCTCTGACTAAGTCTCTCTGCAATTTTTGCAAGTTATTTCTGTCGGTTATTGAACTGCTATATGGAATTTAATTGCTAGTTAACACCTACCAGCGTGAGTGACAAGTTATCTGTATTATACTATCTGAGCTTTTATGCACCAAATGATGTGAATTTATTCGATAAAGTACCTTTAAGCCACAGCCAAGCATGCATCATCTCGTGTGCCAATATGGACCCCGTCAATAATCTGTTCAAAAAGAAAAGAAATCTGTAATGTTTTCTAAATTTTACAATTAAATGACTGGGTAATCCAGTTGAATTCCTCAGCGAAGGGAGACAGAAAGGGAACATAAAAATTATCTGAGCCAGTAAAAAACAATGAAGATAGGAGTTACATTAGAAGTGTGAAAAATAAGGTTATTATAGATAGGGCCACAAAACAAAAGATTAGAAAGGGAAACAAGAACCAAGACTTTCAGTTCCATTTAGAATCCTAACTCAAATGGGTAATCAATTACTTAAAAAAACAGAAGACTACAGATTATATACAAGAACCTATGACCCGATTGTTATCAGGTGCAGGATATCGCAGCCAGATACAAATACACTTTTCCATGCATATAATTCTTGACATAGAACAAAAAGAGCGCGAAAAAACCCACAAATTGCATACGATTGAAAATGTCGAAAACTAATCTGCTTTTCATAAAGATAGTTGAGGAAACAAGATTAAAAGTCACCATCAATGATTTGATGATGCATTGACAAGCCTTAAAAGAAAAAAATTCAAATGTCAAATGGAGGCTTCCAAGTTCCAGTCACTTCAAAAAACACTCAAATCTTCACCTTAAGTGGAAACCAATGGTGATCCTCTAAAGACGAAAACCATGTCTTAGTTAACAAAGAGTAAACAACTCATTTTACCGTGCAAATCAATTCTAGCCATTTAGCATGCTAAGAAATTCTAGACTTTCTTTCACTGATCACAAAGGACATGCATTTTATGAATACCAAAACGAATTTCAATTCAAACGCACTAACCCAATCATTATGCATTGCCAACAAAGTCACTTGAAGAAGAAGGAATTGCCACGGCATAACACGGAAAATAAAAAATATACCAGGCACGAAGTATGGAGGAGCTGGTCACTTTGGTTATTGACCAACTGAATGAATCCGATAACAGAGAAGTGAAATCAGAAAATTGAGAAATCCAATAGCCTTGTTCAGTAAAAAGCAGGTGTGATTACTATTTAATCTTTTATAGACTTAAAAACCATTATATGCGGTGAATATACTTTGGAACATTCTTCTCCCTCTATGTGAATTCAACAAACAACTGTGATGGGTGGGGGTTGGGGGGGGTAGACCCACCCTGTCGATATGAAATAAGAATATATAAGATAATGAATGCTTTATAAGCATATTCCCGGCTGAGCAAATTAAAGTTCGTAAGTAAAGAATACGAGTAAGACATTCCGCAGCCACCATCAACATGGAAATAACAAGACGATCAGACTTTACAAATGTCTGCAGAGCGGAAGAACAAAGGACAAAGAAAGAAATCTAATCATCAATCAAAGTTACCAATCAAACGAGACCTATTCAAACAGATAAAGTTATGCTGATACCCACAAAGCAATATGCACAAATATAGCACACAACCAAATACTCACATGAGAAACTGAAAGCATGAAAATTAACTCCCCTCCTTTGAAATAATCCAACATCCAACCAGTAGAAGTTAGTATAATTAGCCATTTCATATCATAAAAATATAAATATTACTACCATGACACACTTCAAGAAATTACATCTTTAACGAAGGGATTTCCCTTCGTTAAAGAGCTGAAAACCTTCGTTATTGTATGCTAACGACGGGAAAACATCAGGTATAGTTCAATACAAATCTTTTTAAGCTTAAATATAATTTGGTTGTTTGAGTCCCAAATGTAGTGACGACTTACTACCAAAGGCCATCAGCATCAACCAGATATGGAAAAAGGAAAAACTATTATCGTACTGGATATATAATTGTGCTAATTTATGGACACACCCTTTGTACTAATGAGTTTAGTTGAAGTTAAAATCGAATGATATTATTAAACGCCAATTTTGTGCTAAATTTTATTTTTTCAATTATATAAATGTGTAAGCTAAACCTAACATAGGGTGACTGCTCTCTTCCTTGGTTTCTAAAGACAAGAAACACTACCATTCTGTAGTCTACCATATCATTATTAACAGAATAACTTCTTATACTGACCAGGCTTTACAAAATCTGACCAAAATTAGTAGCTTTGAGTGGTGAATCTTCTTTTGTTGACTTAAAAAAGAAGTTCTACAAAAATGTGTATTTCACGTTAATATGGATCAAAGAACTTCCAGCTTTTTCTAAGATAACTATAAAAAAGATCGGTGTTTGGCTAATCTACCTCTGGCTTCATGTCTCGATGCACCAAACCATGCAAGTGACACTCAGCTGCCACTTTAAACATTTGGCGGACAACTATCGCAGCATCATTTTCAGTATAACGACTATCTTTCCTGCAATGATAAAGGACCTCAGGTAAATAGTCATCTTATCCATTTTTGATAAATTATGGCAGACAAGCATTGATGATCTCCAAGCAAGAACTAAATGTGAATCCCACAATAAATGACACTCAAATCCTCTTACACACAACACACGAGGAAAATAAGTTTGCTCTTTACAAGATGAAAAGAAAGGAAATTTTTTTCAAGTCTACAAAATTTCAGAATAGTAGTCTTACTTGGCTAAAATTCGATCTAGTAGCCCTCCTCCTTCGCATAATCTGAACATAGGAAAACATAACATAAAACATGATCACCATATACTGAGACGTGCCAGTCTGAGTTGCATATTTTACACAGAAAGTAACCACCTAAAAATTACCAAGCCACTATGTCATGGAATAAATTATAACCATGGGTTTTTATCGTTCACAGACGCATCCATATTAATGTATGCAATAAAATATTCTCAAGTCTGGTTTAATTGGCAAGAAAAATATAAGACATATTGTAATCTCAGAAATGATATATTCTTAACAATAAAGAAGACCGGTGTTTCAGCATGCGGATAATATCGACAAAGTCCATAAAGGTTCAATCTCTAAGCAAATTAACATGAAAGAGCATTTTTTTAGGAAAAATTTTTACTAGGGGAATCTGATTCAAATTAGCTTGAAGAAGCTCAAAATTCCCATTTGCTAAGTGCTAGAGAGGGTTCTTGAAACAAAACCTGAGATTGATAAAGCAGATTGAAGCTCAAAATTCCCCTCCTCTTCCTCCTCCTCCTTCCTCAACCTCGCCCAACCCCGTCCCCCTCCTACCACACAATCGTCGTCAACACAATCGAACCCCACCTACCACAAAATAACAACCAAAACACATAATTTCCTCTCCAATTAGCAGATTTCAACATGCCAAACACTGAAATGAAACAAAATACTAACCAATTAACCCCACTATAAGTATAAACAATATCAATCAAGTGTGGAGCGCGGCCACGGGAGGAAAAGAATCATGTTCACAGGTTGCTCCGATACCATTTTGCCAGCCTCGGAGAACTCATGCCTAAAAGCTAGTTGTAAGAAGAGAACCTCTAAACATTCAAACAACTCATAGTCTGTATGGTCAATGTGGGACTATATAGCCCTAACAGTCATCCCATAAACGAGCATTCAAACTGCTACTGTTAGTTATATATGCCCCAGAACAAATCAAACAGAAACTAAGAAAATGAAGCACAAAACCCTAAAAATAAAATGGGAAAAAAAAGTAAAAGCACACCTATACTCCCAAGTGTGAAACCCTGATTTGTATAGCACATGATGAAGCGGTTCCCAATCATTGAACACCTCGTCGAAATCAAGAACGATGCTCGACGACGGCTCAGCATTCGCCAGGATCCAGCTGAGGCCACGGCGTTCGTACGCCGCCTGTCGTCGCTGCCACAGGAGCTTCTTCTTGTCGCGTCTTCGAGTATCGATCTGATGATGAGTTTGGATCCGACGGAGAAAAGTGTCAGCGGCAACGTGAATAGACGACGGAATGGGCCGGAGGAGCACTTGATTTCAACGAGCGGGAGTAGCTGAAATTAGGGCAGGAGGAGGACTTGATTTCGGCGAGCGGGAGTAGCTGAAATTAGGGTAGGAGGACGACTTGATTTAGAGGAAACGGGAATGAGAGAGAGGGATGGCGATTTTGTCGGCGATGTCGGAGAGGGGGCGACGACGGTGTTAAAAATTTGGGGAATGGGAACAAGTTTTTTTGATTTAGGAGGCGGCGACGGCCAACAGGGAGGGTGCGAGCATGAGGGGGAAGGCGGCGAGGGCCAACAGGGAGGGCACGAACGTGAGGGGGGAGGCGATGACGGCCAACAGGGAGGGCGCGGCCAAAAGGGAGGGCAAATTTTCTTTTTCAAAATTTCATTTTAAGCTGCAGTGGGGGTTTTGGGGGGCGGCAAGGGTTTTGTTGGGTTGATTTTGCGTTTCGGGTTCTACTTGGGGGCTTTGGGGATTGTGATTGTGGGTCTTGTTAATTAATAGTAATAGGTTAAACTATCAATCATATTATGATTAGGAGTATCATCAATGAAGGTAATGGACCCCTTCGTCTTTAAGGAGACCCAATAACAACGGTATTAGTATCAAATTAATGAAGGGATTAGAAAACCGTTATCTCATCTCACATCATTCTACTAATATTTGTAATCACTCGACGAAGGCTTTAAAACCCGTCGTTATTACATACACATTAATGACGGTCAACTAGTCCCTTCACTAATTTTGGTCGTTAAATACCAAATTTCTTGTAGTGTAGAGAAAATTTCCAAAGATCTTCACCTTCTTTCCATTCTAATTCCGAGAAAGATACAGAATGACCTTGAGCAGATGGAATAAAATTCAATGACAAACCATTACCTTGCTTTCTATTGTCAGAGAATAAGCTAGCAAAAGTTTTCAATTCTGATCCATTTTCCTTTAAGCTAACATTTCTCACTTGATTTTCAACAGAGGTTTCATTTTCTTCATTTTCCAGATTTATATTGTTTTCTAAAATTTTATCAGATTCAGCCACATCAGAGTTGAAATCCGCATTATGATCTATTATCTCATTTAGATCTGAATCAATCGCATCTTCAACTTCAACTGATCATTGAACAGAATTTGGAGATTTACTTAGTTGACGAGGGATCATCATACCAGATTTCAGCTGTGGAGATTGAGGATCGGACAGAGGTTTAGATCTGGCAATAACTTCGTCAATCAGCATCTTCTTCCTTGCTCCTTTAGGACCCGTACTTTCCATTTCTTGAGGAAACAGATAATTTACTGTTTCATTGATGTCGGCAGCATTAGAATAGGAAACTCCAGTAGACGAGGAGACTCCAGCATCAGCGTAGGTGAAGATGGAATCTCTCAACTCACTACTTTGAACTCTCTTTGTACTAGATCTCTTCTTCTTCGCCATGAAAATCCAGGCGGAGGAGCACGATAGCAAGAAGATCGCTTGCTATCATGCGCCTAACAGACCGCCCCTTGATATTCTCCATTTGATAACTCTAAATATCGACTAACATTGTTAATGGCAGTTTAATTAGTGACATTTACACTTAAAAGTTTATATTATCTTTCGCCGACCTGATCCAAACATGGCATACAACTATTCCCATTTTCCTCGCCCCGTTGCATTCGATTCTCCTTCTATTATTTTCAAACTCTAGTTCCTTCTTTATCCATCTATGGCATCAACAAGTAACAACCTCAACTCTCCTCTAATGTTAATTTATTTGGTCTGCGATAAATCCAAACTTGTCGTTGAACTCTTCAGTACTGATCTCTTCTCAAATCATAGTCACATGCATATTTGTATATAGCATGATAACAATTCATTTCAAACACGACTTACAACTTGATCCCTTTCGACCCACATTATTTGCTACTGAGGATTTATTTAGAGTAGGGAAAAACTAAAGCTGATAACAGAAACAGAAGAGTACTAAAAGACAAGTTAGATCTCTCCATCCCACAATTCCTCAATGGTCTTGTACGGCCCGTTTTCGGAAACAAACATATCACCTTGGTACCCCCTGAACTGTGGAATAGTTTGGATCTTTTCTGTATCTTCTTTGCTCAGCTCCCAATCAAAAATACCTAAGTTCTCCATCATTCTTCCTTTGTTGTAAGTCTTGACTGCAATGCTCACCCCTTGCTGATATAACCACCTCAGAGCAACCTATAAGCATGCCCACGAGTAAAAAGAAAAAAGGATGTCAGACAAAACAGATATCAAAAGAATAGTATATCTTTTTTTTTAATCATCTTATATCTAAGGGTTACTTGCGGATAGATCTGCTATCGCCCACTTGTGGAAAGACCCAAGACCCCTTAGTTCAGACCACCTATATTATTTCCCCAAGCGCCGATAGAATTCCAGAGTGAACTTTTTTACTCTTAAAAGAGAGTAAAAAAAAAAAAATGTTAGGGGCACACCCCCTACCACACCACCAACCACACACCCCTCTCTCATCGCTACAGTAAACCGGGCCCCACATGAGATTTTAAAAGTTTTAAAATCCCATGTGGGGCCCGATTTACTGTAACGATGGGAGAAGGAGGTGTGGTTGGTGGTGTGATAGGGGGTGTGCCCCTAACACCACTCAAAAAAAAACACTTTGAGAGTTTGTCGGTACAAATAGAACTACGTACAGAGGGTCTATCCACAGTTGACACTAATTAAATATTTATAAAGAAAGTTATAATATTATTTTCTCTTTCCGAACACTAAAGAAAAGCACTGCACATCATCTAAGAACCGATCGCATGTGAGCGGTCGGTCTGAGCCATACAGTTGGAGGGGAAAATGCCAATTCCTATCAGTCGGTTCTGAGAGAAATAATACTCAAAGAAAAGCTTGCTCAAAGGCTAGTACACATGTTATCTAACGGAATAATCAATTTAATTGTTTTATTTAAACTGAGCTAATTATGTAGCTTTATAAACTAATGACATAGAGGGATATTCTTGACACACGAAGGATTTCTCTCATATAAATTGATGTTATTAAATCTTAGCCGATGTGTAGAAAGGCCATTCTTTTTTAATTGTTTTCGCTGGCAATAGTGTATATAAAAGAATCTTCTCACATGACAAGAATACCTGGGCCACTGTCTTTCCTTTGACACTTGCAATGTCCTTTAGCACTGCGCTTTGCATCACTGCAATAGAACCCCAATTAGCTCCGTTGGCCGCCAATGGCGACCAAGCTGTGATATGAACTCCTATTTCATTGCAGAAATCCAGAAGCTTCTTTTGATTCCATGCCACATGCATCTCCACCTGCAACAAGATTATCCTCATGAGAAGACACCACTATTATCATTGTTGCAAGGGTTAATTGCATACATATTATAAAGGGGGAAAATGGGTAGGAGATGACAATTCATTTTGCTAAATAAGTAACCAATAGGCTTGTCCAAATAGGCTTTGACCCGGACCTGGTCCGTTGTCTGACCTGGGCCCGGCTAGACCTAAGCCTAGCTTGGGCATGGGAAAAGCCCGGATGGCTGAGCCTGGCCTAGTTTCGGGCCTGATCGGGTTTCGGACCTAGGTCCGGTCGTGTCGTCAAAACCTGACCGGACCCGACCCCACCATGTTCTGGTGGTCCAGGCAGAGAAACCCGAGTTCGGGTCGACCCACACCTTGACTGAGTTAGGGATTGTCAGGACCTGGCGGCCCAAATCTTGCCTAGTTCAGGTAGACTAAAATAGCTAAAACGACATCGATTGGTAAAGAGTAGAAAGTTATTTATAATTTTTAGTTTTTGTCTTTTTGAATGGAAAGAGTTGCAAATGATAGTTATATAAATTATATAGATTGGTAAGTGCCAAGCTAATTGGGATGTACTCATCTATTATGATTCGATAATTTTTAAAAATATTATAATTCTCAGTTATTAATAATAAAGAATTTATTTTTGATCATTTTAATTTATATGAAATTAGTAAAATGTATAATTATATAAGTGATTGATAATAAGATTGAATTTCTTTATTAGAATTTCACATCTTTTTAATTACTTCTGAAGTTGCCAATTTTTTTAACAAAAAATGTAATTTTTTATTTTTTTCAAAATATCAAAAAACAAGTTAACAAAATTAGCTCGGCCTAGTGGCCAACCCCGTCCCTACACCAACCCTAGCTCGGGTCTTGGCAGGACTTTTTGCCTGAGCCGACCCATTTGGACATGCCTACTCAAATGATCAAAATACCCTAAAATGGTATTAAAAAAAGGCTAAAAGTTAAGGGTATTTTGATTATTTGACTAGGGGCTACCTTTATAAATAGAGAGGATTTTTATTTATTTTTCTTATCCAAACCTTATCTTATTCTCTTTAATACTCTCTCTTAATCTCTCTAATACTCTCCCTTGATCTCTCTAATACTTTCCAATACTCTCAAATTCTCTAACTTTAATGGCTTCCTCCTTAGTTTACGAAGGGGAAAATCCCTCTCCCGCGTTGTGTCCTACGGCTACTCCTGCTACCAATGTCAAACCCAAATCCGGCAATGATCTAACACCTAATTCTCTAACTTTAATGGCTTCCTCCTTAGTTTACGAAGGGGAAAATCCCTCTCCCGCGTTGTGTCCTACGGCTACTCCTGCTACCAATGTCAAACCCAAATCCGGCAATGATCTAACACCTAGAGCTCCTAAAAGGCTAAGATTAGAAGTGTAGGTTTTTTTCGAGAAGATGGAACTTATCATGAATGAACACAACAGACTTCTCACCAAAATGTGAAATGTGCATTATGCGGTCATATCTTAGAAGCTCATCATAAAAGCATGACTAACCACCTCAAATGACATTTGGAAAAACATAACAAAGGACAAGGAACAACTCAAGGCAACATCTTCCAATCTCTAGTCTCTTAATCATCTTCCTTCGTTAGCCTCGATTCATAAAATTGAGATGTAATTAGAGCTAGAAAATGCGTCATCAGGTTTATTGTTATTTTTCTTTTAAATTGGTAGAAGATGATGAATTTGATAATATGATTAGAGATGCTTTTTATCCCACGCTTCAAAATTTTTGAGCCACACTTGTCAACATGATATTTTGAAATATTAACACGAGAAAAAAAATAGTTTCTTATTTTTAATCTTAAACTGTAAATTTTCTCAATTTTAATATTTTGATATTTAGAGTACAAACTGGTTATTTATGTATCATAGCAGACTGAACGACACTTGGCAAAAGTTTAAAAGAGTTGTTTCTTTTATGAGTTATTTGCATATATACCCCTAAATTAAGAGTATTTGCAAAAATATCCTCCAAACCTCAATATTTGCAAATTACCCCTCAAATCATCAATTTTGGAAAAATTAACCTACAAATCAGTTAATCATCAACTTGATCAGCTAAGTAGTAATCACAATGTAAAAATTATCAACAAAGAAGTCAAATTTTTAACACAAAGTTGATGATTTGTTGATTTAGGGTATTTTTTCAATAAAATGATGATTTGAGAGATATTGTTGCACATACTAAGAGATTTGGGGGTTATTTTTGCAAATACCCATAATTTAAGGGGTATATATACAAACGAACCTTTTTTATTTTATTTGAAGATCCACACACTAGTGTAAATAGTATAAATTTAATAATTGAAGAGCCTTCAAAGTTAGAAATTATTGAAAAAAAAAATATTTTCTCATTCACTAGATTATACAAGCAATAATAATGTACTTGTAAATTATATCAAATCATCTTTAGAATTGCTGGTCCAAGCCAACCTTTTTCATATTAGATGCATATGTCATATTTTAAATATAATTTTTTAAAGTATATTTGATGAAAGTAAATCAATTATAGAAAAAGTTAACATTATAACTCATGCTCACAATTGTAGGCGTCAAAAATTGCCTATAGGTCCCCGCACGTGGCTCGAGACAGAGAGAAGATGATGAACATCGCTATCTGAGTCACAGAAGCTCATTTGACGATGACAAGTGCATGAAAGTGAGTCGACGAACCATGCGATGCAACGGAACTTCGGAATAACGGAAACACGAATGGACCGGGAGCTCCGCGTCACTTACGAAAGACGAAGTACTTCTCGTGTTCCGTCTACTTCACATGTGATTCAATCATGGGAACTTATTAATCTCCTCATTAGCTTTCTGACACATCTTGAACTACGTAATTCTGAGTTTGGACGATGAAGATACGGCGGAAACGGACGGGACGCGTGCAATCAGGTCCAGACAAAGTTTGGCCAAGACACCAAATTGGCCGAGACACCAAATGGTGTCTTGGCCATGCTTTGGCCGAGACACCAAATGATGTCTCGGCCAATGCTTGGCTGAGACACCAAATGGTGTCTTGGTCAAAGCATGGCCGAGTGTCCGCAGCCCCGAAAATCTATTTTTGGCTGTTTTGAGCCGTTTTTCGACCGTTAACCACCTGGATTTATTCTAACTGATAAAATATCATCCAAGAACGTGGTTAAGTGATTACAACTGAGGATAAGAGTGAATCAACTATTCTTATCCGAAAATAGAGCTCCCGAAGCCTATAAATATAGCCCCATGGCCTTCATTTTTTTAGATCTGAAATTTTCGAGCGTTGGCGAAGCCCTGCTGGATTGAAGACTGAAGGAGCACGAATTACAAAAAAGAGGAGGAGATCGTATCGAGTTCGTCAGCATAAAGAAGAGGAGCTTATCAGATCTACAGTTCCTGGTTCCTTCCCTTGAGATTGCCCCGTTGCGGTGATCTCAAGAAGAGTGATTATCTCACCGTTGCCGAGATAATTACTTCGGCTTCTTAATTCCTTTGCGAATCAACGAAGCTCCGGATATGATCTGATCGTTTGGTAGTTCACGGATATCAACATCCCCATCACAGGTCAAGATCCCACGTAAGCAGCGGAGGATAAACGTCAGTTGCGTTTGTTTAGACGAGAGTTATATTTTTTTGTTTTCTTTGTGTAAGAGTCTTATAAAAAGACTATTTTTTGTTGTCATTATAACAACTGAAGTTGTAATGAACACTGCAATGAATACATTAACTTTCTTCCTAAACAAGCTGGCGACCACAGTGGGAGTCAACAGCTTCGCTGCCGAAGCTATCGTGCTGCAACCAACGATCAAGATCCCGATGAACGAAGAGGTCGAGTATGAATTCGACCAGCAGAAGTTTGAGGAGTACGTATCCTCCTCCTCCTCCTCCTCCAGATCCGCCTCTCCTTGCAAGTGCAAGAAAGCCTCCTCCTCCAGGAAGATCCCCTGGTCTTCAAATCTGAAGACCCAAGAAGACGATCTCTCCGCCGCCGCTACTGTAGTTGCACCTCGCAACGCTCCTCCAGCATCTAATGAAGACAGATCTGGAGATCTGAACTCCTCCTCGATCAAGGAGTCGACTGTTGAAGGCGTGCCAAATTTATCAAAGAGGGCTTGTCAGAAGCGTCACCAACGTCTCGCTCGCCAATTGGCTAAAGCTTTGGAGCAAGTGGATGGGCTCCGCTACCAAGCGGATCTGAAGTCTAGGAGACGCCAAGTGGATAAATCATTATCACAACAAGCATCAGAAACCTCATCCCAACCACCTACTAACGAATGGGTTTCTATCAAACGGAACCGTTCTACTCTTGAGGAGCGCATCCAGAAGCGCCGCACACTTCTTACGCATGTACGGATTCTCACACAAGAAGCACAGAAATTGCAGCATGAGGAGGTGGTCAAGAAATCACCAATATCTAAGCAGGTTTGGGTGCTAAAGGCCAAAACATCACCTCTATCCGACAAGAGACACCAGTCGTGTCTCTCGCTTGATTCCAGATTCGAGGCTATTCCCCTGCCTTCGTCAAGTTCAGATCTCGCTCCTTCTAATCTTGCAGCTCCGGTGAAGCTTCACGACAGTATGGACATATCCAGAGGCAGGAAAGCAACAGTGGAACGCCTAGATCATTTGCATGAGGATCAAGGAAAAGCTCCTGTCAAAGAACGCTTGGGCACGATGAATGAACTCCGAATAACTCATCAAGCTGGGGGTTGTACTCGCCCTTACAACAAGTCTGAGCCTTCTCGTAAGGAGAAAACTCCTATAACTGATCGCCTCGGACTACGTGTCGAAGTCCAAGAGCCCATTAATGTCCCACGTTCACGAAGGCGTAGCTCAAAACGTGCGACTATTGAGAACGCCATCAAGGCAATAAGTCCTCAGAAGGAAACGTGTTCGTCAGACGACGATGTTATACCTGAGAAGTCGTGTCAACACGAGATAGATTGCTCCGGTCATCATGCCGATGAGTTGTACTATCGGGCTGGGGGTACGA